CATCACAATGTGCTGTCTTGACTTTGAAACCAGATAGTAGGGTAGAGAAATTAGGATTTGAATGAAGAGTAAAGTGTATACATTCCAAAAGAACATTATAGCAACATCTATGTAATGTCCTGGTGTTAGTCTCAATAAAGAGACTGTTTGTAAGGACCCCCTTTTTAAGTTACATGCTACCTGAAAGCTCATTTGCATTGTGTTTTCAAGGAACACAGAGATCCCAGGTTCAGAATCTGCCACTTTACTACTATATTAAGGGGATCTCATGCTGTGCCTGTTCACTAAATTTACTGAGCTGAACCACAAGAAATGGTATTTTATTTGCTCTAATTTATTTAGAGAGAGATTTGTCACAGAAGCTAGCAAACATACATGTAGCACACGCACGCACACACACACACACACAAGCACATTCAAGCAAACATTATGTACTAGCTAGCTGGAACAGCAGGAGGATGGATGGCAGGAGATGGGTTTTGATGTTTCCTGTCTTCTCTTTTGTCTTAGACCATCCACAGACACGATGATGTCAGTCTACCTCCCCAAGAGCGGTTCCAGATCTTAAGTGCTCTAGGGCAGGACATCAAAATCAACAAAAAATTTTCCAAGGCTTCTTACATGAGCCTGAGAGATGACTTCTTCAAAATGGCAGCTGACTTGGATGAATGTGGAAAAGAAGAAGCCTTTATTCTCTATCATAAATTCCTCATGTGAGAACCTGCACTTTCTATCTCCTTTTCTGGGACTGTTCTCTAACTCATGCTGCTCTCCTGTTCATGTTTGTCACATTTGGAGACAGTTACTGAATTTGAAAATGTCAGGTTTTAATCATATTTCTGGCAGTTCATATACAATCTTTTCATCCCTATTCAAAGGCACAAAGACCAAAGATGTTGTGGTCATAAATAAAGAACTTCATGAGTAGGAGTTCTTTAAAAATATATATATTAATTATATTTTATTCACATTGTATCCCAGCTGTAGTCCACTCCCTCATTCCCTCCCAGTCCCATCTCATCTCCTCCCATGCCCTTCTGCCAGTCCAGTGATAGGGAAGATTCCCCTTCCATTTGATCCAAATCTATCAGGTCTCATCAGGAATAGCTGCATTGGCTTCCTCTGTGACTTGGTAAGACTGCACCCCCCCCCCCTCAGAGGGACGTGAACAAAAGCTGACCACTGAGTTCTTGTCAGAGACAGTTCCTGTTTCCATGACTAGGGAACCAACTTGGACACTGAGCTGCCATGGCTTACATTTGAACAGGGGTTCTAGATTATCTTCAAGAATGGTCCATAGTTGGAGTATCAGTCTCAGAAAAGGTGCTTGTGCACAGATTTTTTTTCTCTCCTTGTGGTGCTCCTGTCCCCTCTTGGTCTTTCTATCTCCCGCTTCTTTCATAATATTTCCTACACTCTGCCCAAAGTTTAGCTCTGAGTCTCAGCCTCTTCTTTGGTGGCCTGTGGGGTAGAGTCTTTCAGAGTCCCTCTGTTAGGCTCCTCTCCTGTTCCTTCTTTTCTTTCCCTTCTGAAGTCCATCCCATTTGCCTTTCAGAATGAGGGTTGATCATCTTACTCAGGATCCTCCTTCTTGATTAGCTCCTTTAGGTATACAGATTTTAGTATGATTATCCTATATTATATGTCTAATAATACTTATAAGTGAATATATACCATCTGTGTCTTTCTGCTTCTGGGACGGATACAGAAATTGTGGTACATTTACACAATGGGATACTACTCAGCAATTAAAACAAAAAAAATGACGAAATTTGCAGGCAAATGGTGGGACCTAGAAAAGATCATCCTGATAAGGGGTTCTTAATCCTGTTCCCACATGATGAGGTCCTAGAAATTAACAGTTTGCAGGGAAAAAGCACATATCTGAATTGGTGAGTGGATTGATTAGCAAATGGCCTCTGAGGGACAGGATTATCTCTGATGTGTAGCCAAACCCAGATCCCTCTTCTCTTCATCCTGTAGCCTCTTGAATTGTATAGGAAAGAAGGTTGCCTTCCCTGTAGGTGCAGTCACCAGAGGACTGTAGAGCACCTGGAGTCAGTGGGGTTCAGCACAGTAAGGACTTTTCCAAAGAATTTCATCATTCTTACACAGGCAGATTAAATACAAGATTGTGAATCTAACACCAGGTCATGACTCTTATAGGCTCAGTGACAAAAGAGTACTCTGTTTGATGAAGTAAATGATGTTAAAATCTCACTAGTCATGTCTAGCCCTGAATTTGGTGAAGCAGAACCTAAGGAGATGCACAGGACTCTGAGGAGCTCAGACAATGGCATAGGGTTTCCTGGCCATGACTTCCCTGATCTTCAGAAGACTGTGCATGCTGAGTAGAGACATCACATTCTTGTTTCACAGAGGAAGAGAAAACTCAGGTGTAGAGATGAGTTCAGCAGGACACTTTGCATTTCCCTGTTCTTACAACTGCTAGAACAAGCGTTCTTCTGTTTGTTTTCCACTGTTAGTATTCTGTAACATGAATATATTCTCTTGAGCTCATGTTGTAACTCTTTCTCTCATTTTCTTACCATTCCAAAGACAAATCACTGTTACAAGGGACTCATATGTCCTCTGAGATATCAGCTTTTTGTACGGTGATAAAAGGCACATATTCACATAAAATTATCCTGATCATACTCTCCTCTCAAGTAGAGTTTCTGAGAAGGTCATAAATTGTTCTTGAATTTTGGACTGTTAGCGTTGAAGCAGGTCAGCAACATCCCTGGGTGCAGCATCCCACCAGGTACCCCAGCACATGCACTCCTAACTCTGAGCACCCTCAGTGTCTCCTTTCATTGCCTAATGAACTCTTAGGTGAGGTTGTGCCCTGCTGGGAAACAATACACAAAAGGTGCTCTGTGAGCAGCAGTCCATATTGCGATTGGGAATAGAAGAAAGAAACCACTGTCTTTATTTCCTGGTTTTAAGTTCAAGGTTATGACCTGTTTCCTCAAGGATCTGTGGGTCCATTGATTCTATGTGCTGCCTCCTGTGTGCTGGGATGACAAACATGCACCTTAACAGCTTAGCTATGCTTCTTGAGAGCTGACATTTCCTGTATGTGCCAGTTTAATATTATAGTAATGACTCATATTTTTCCAGACACTGGCATGAAAACTGATGCTGGATTTCAGGGTGTTTCTCTGTAAACTCTAGGATCTTCTGAAATCCTGCATGCAGAGGCCAAATTTCCACAGGGCCTAATTTAACCATGTCAAAATGTTCTGTACATCTTATTCATTCTCCTGTATTTCTTAGATTATATTTGGAAAAAAATTAACATTGGCCCAAAACTCCGAAAAAGGGATGCAGGTGGAAGAAGATCGAACTTCATCAAGGTGGGTCTTTATTGTCTAAGATGATGAACAAATATTGCCAGAGCAGCCTGGAGCTACTCAAAGAAAATCCACAGATTCTGACACTTGGTGGAAAGGGGTCAGATGCTGCCTCAGCAAAACAGTAAAGAGAGGGATGGCTGGGAATATGGTTCAAGCTGTGCGTGAGTTACTGCTGCCTTTCCCAACTTGTTTTATTCCCTTTTTTTCTCACATTAGAACTGTTCTAATTCTCCATTTTGGTTTTGTATTTCAGATCCTAAACATCGTTTTTGACAGGGCCAAGATTTTAAAGAGGAAACTACTAAACAAATATAACAGGGAATATGAAAAATACCTGATGGAGATGGTCAGTATCAGGAGCACAGAGACAGTGGGATTACATGGCAGCTATCCAGCCTGTTCTTCAACTGTCTTGTTATGTTCCATTGGAGTCTGTGAATCAGTGAATAGGCTCCACAATCACTTGCACATAAATGCACTTGCATCCATACTAGCCAACACACACAGACACAACACACACACAGACACCCCCCCCCAAAGAGATGGGGAGAGTGTAGAGAAGACTGAGATTTAGCTATTACTAGAGACATCCATATAGGAACTGAGTAGGGGGTGCAGGCTCTTTTCCACCACACCAGATTTATTGATCTGTTTCTGAGATGTCAGACATGAACAGAACTAGGTTTTGTTCATGTCTGTGATGACAAGACTTTTCTTCTGAGATTTCAAGTATTTACCTAAATCCTTTTCCTGTAGAAGAATAAAGAAGAGGAAGCCACAGAGCAGGCAACTTCCTGGGAGGTCGTAAAATCCAGATATTCCACTTCTTGCACTATTCTGTTTGATCCATTGTATGGACCTAAAGAAAGCAAAAGTGGAGAAGTAGGACCTGGTATAACATCTACAGTGAAGGAAGCTCAACCTTCTTCAGTACCAACCAAAACCTCCAGCTCAATACAGCAGTGTTCAGTAGAGGAGAACACTAAGTTTGTCATCCCAAGCACATCAACATCTGCCAAGCAGCCTGGGGCAAATGACCCAGAGAAAAGCACAGGTAAGTGGCTGGATCTTTGACCCCCCCCCCGGCAGGGGAAGAGTACCCTTGCTAGGCCATAGAGGAGGATATTGCAGCCAGTTCTGATGAGACCTGATAAGCTAGGGTTAGATAGAAGGGAAGGAGGACCTCCCCTATCAGTGGACTTAGAGAGGGGCAGGGAGGAGATGAGGGAGAGAGCTTGGGATTGTAAGGGAATGAGGGGATGCAAAGTAAATAACCCGTAATTAATATAAAAAATAAAAAATTCAGGATGCTCCACTTGGCACTCTCTTCTATTAGATCCTTTGTATGGACCTGAAGAAAACAAAAGTGAAGAAGAAGGACTTGGTGCAACATTAAGAGCAAAGGAAGCTCAGCCTTCCTCAGTACCAACCAAATCCTCCAGCCCACCACAACAGCATTCCAGAGAGGAGAATGCTAAGTTAATCACCCCAAGCATGTCACTATCTGAAGGGCTGCCTGGGGAAAATGCCACAGAGGAAAGCACAGGTAAGTAACCACAGGTTTCTGACTTGGAAAACATTTGTGTAGAATTGGTTCCCCATTTAAACACAGAAATGAGCTAAATGCAAGATGAAGTTATGGTATAAAAAATGCAGGTTTATTGAGAGAATCTTTTGGCTGCAGTACTGGGGAAGGGGAAGAGAGAAAGAGAAAAATCCTGCACAGAGAGAGAATGAAGAAAGAGTGAGGAGAAGAAGAGGATGAAAGATACACAGAGAGCAGAGTGAGAGGAGAGAGAGATAAGGAAACCTAAATGTCTGGATTATATAATGAGGTGAAGCCCCTGACCTGGGCTGGAAAGCACAGGGTACTTGGTCAGAGCTTATCCTAGCCATGCCCACAGCAGGTAGGGACAAAGGGATGATGGGAAAACCTGGAGGCCAGATGCACTTTGATATGGTCTGATACCTAAGAGTCCCCATTGCATCCGGCTCAGCCACACAGGTGTGAGATTAGAGCTCACCAATAAAGTATACATGTTCTCGTGGACAGGTGTCTGAAGTCTAGAGCCCTGAGCACCATCACAGAGAATGTTGCATTTCCTTGTCCATGTCTTCAGTCTTTGGCTTCCGTGGTCCATTTACACTCATCTCACAGTCACATCCAAAACTATTGTTCCATCCACTCAAGTTGGCTATAAAGTCCATGGTCCCAGTTCCCAGTCAGCTGTACCCAGAGCCTGGAGAAAGAAAATCTGGCTCACTTTGTGATTCCATCATGGGGAGAGACTCATGGAAAGAATTCCAATGACATTTCTTTTCTCTCCCAGGCTCTCAAGATGAATTCTGCTCATGAACACCAGGCCCTGTTGCCCAAGACTTTTCTCTCTTTTCCATTGCAGTTCAGAAAGTTAGAGGCCTATGTCCTGTGATCCTCCCTCACGATTTATGTGAGAAATTTCTAAAGTCTGCGAGGAAGAACACTAAGAAGAAGATTGAGACCTGTGGTGTTTTGTGCGGATCCATGGTAAAAATATGAAAAGTCCTTCCTGATCTGAGGTTGTTTCTTCCCCTTGTCTTTCCATGACTGTCAGAGAACATATGTAGTGTCTCTGTCCATAGATATCACTAGAGAGAAGGAACTGTGGATGACAAGACCTGGAAACCTTTAATTTGATGACTTTGCATTTGGTTGCTTTTAAGAATCCCTTGAACCCTTTGATTCAATGCTATAGTTAGAAAATTTCATTGCAGTGGTAGCTAATGCTACTAATTCCTGTTACTGCATAACTAAGACTGGAGGCTTCCTACAAGTTCAAACCAGCTTCACAGGGAGAATGAGACATTGCCTTGAAGGCAAAGAAAGCAGGCCAGCAGGCAGACAGGCAGATAGGCAGGAATGAGGCAAATAGACATGCATGTTGACTAATTGTAAAAGGAAAAGGAGGACTCAAATACTTTTGGGTCCTGTTCTAAGCACCTACTCTGGTAAGCCTTGAAATATAAATTAGGAACACCTCAGCTTCCTGAGCAGACCTGCTGGCTGCTTCAGGGAGGAGTCTAGAACTAGGATGTGCCAAGAGGGACATATCAGCATCTGTTCCTTTATAAAGAACTTACAAGAGCTCCCAAGGTTGTGAAACACTGAGAGGAAGGAGAACAGCAAGGGTCATTCACTTGGGTGAGGGATTCACTTACTTGTGTTATGAGAGAGAGGGATTGAGAATTCTAGGGAATAGTAATAAGTTATTTTCTCTTGGCAGGTAGGAGAGGAGTACCATATCACGCACATAGTCATACCACTCCAGGAAGGAGGCCCTGACTATTGCTATGCCACCAATGAAGAGGAACTGTTTTTTATTCAAGAAGAACTGGGGCTTCTTACCTTAGGGTGGATTCATGTAAGCAAATAACCTCCCTGATAGCAGGGTTCTCTTTTCTCTCTCTTAGAAATATCCTGCCTAAATCTTTCTCTGCACAGAGTCAACCCATTCCATATCATTCTTCTGTTTAAACATGCAGTCAATAGTGTTCCAGGGTGAGTCATAGGACCATTTTCTTACTGTTTTTATAGCTTTTAAAATCTTACTTTTTTCAGTTTATTATTTTATTTTTATATTAATTACAGTTTATTCATTTTGTATCCCAGCTGTAGACCCCTCCCTCATTCACTTCCAACACCACCCTCCCTCCCTCTCTTTCTCCCTCTGTCCCTCCCTCCCTCCCTCCCTCCCTCCCTCCTCTCCCATTCCCCTACCCAAGTCCACTGATAGGAGATGTCCTCACCTTCCATCTGACTCTAACCTATCAGGTCTCATGAGGAGTGGCTGCATTGTCCTTCTCTGTGGCTTGGCAAGGCTGCTCCCCCATCAGGGGGACAGTGGTCAAAGTACCTGACACTGAGTCCATGTCAGACTCAGTCCACTTACTAGAGAACCACTTGGATAATGAGCTTCCATGGGCTACATCTGAGCAGGGGTTCTAGGTTGTATCAACAAATGGACTTTAGTTGGACTCAGTCTCAGAAAAGGCCCCTGTGCCTAGATATTTTGGTTTTGTTGCTCTCCATGTAGAGCTCCAGGCCCCAGTATCTCTCCCTTCTTTCATAAGATTCCCTGCACTCTGCCCAATGTTTGGTTATGAGTCTCAGCATCTGCTTTGATGTACTGCTGGGGAGAGTCTTTCAGAGGCCCTCTCTGTTAGGCTCCTGTCCTGTTTCCTCTTTTCTTCTTCTTCCAAAGTCCATTACATTTGTCTTTCTGAGTAAGGATTGATCATCTTACCTAGGGAACTTCTTCATGATTAGCTTCTTAGGTGTATAGATTTTAGTGTGTTTATCCTATATTATAGGTCTAAAATCCACTTATAAGTGAGTATATACCATGTGTGTCTGGGATAACTCAGTGAGTATAATCTTTTCTAGATCCCACCATATACCTGCAAATTTCATGATTTCCTTATTTTTAATTGCTGAGTAGCATTCCATTGTGCACCATAATTTCTGTATCCATTCCTCCCTTGATGGACATCTGGATTGTTTCTAGGTTCTGGCTATTACAAATAAAGCTGCTAGAAACATGGTTGAACAAATGTCCTTGTTGTGTACTTGAGCATATTTAGATATATTTCTAGGAGTGATATAGCTGTATCTTTTTTTCTTTTTAATTAAATTTCTTTTTTATATTAATTACAGTTCATTTTCTTTGTATCCCAGCTGTAGTGTGCTCCCTCATTCCCTCCCAAACATACCCTTACTCCCTCATCTCCTCCCTGCCCCTCTCTAAGTCCACTGATACAGGAGGTCCTCCTCCCCTTCCATCTGACCCTAGTTTATCATGTCTCATCAGGACAGGCTACAGTGTCATCATCCTCTGTGGCCTTGCAAGGCTGCTCCTCCCTTGTGGGGGGAGGTCAAAGAGCCAGCCACTGAGTTCATGTCAGAGACAGTTCCTGCTCCCCTTACTAGGAAACCCACTTGGATACTGAGCTGCCAAGGGCTACATCTGAGCAGGGGTTCTATTTATCCATGCATGGTCCTTGGTTAGAGAATCAGTCTCATAAAAGGTGCCTGTGTCCAGATATATTTGGTCCAAGTAGAGATTCTGTCCTCTCCAGGTCATACTAACTCTCCCTCTTCTTTCATATGATTCCCTGCACTCTGCCCAAGCTTTGGTTATGAGTCTCAGCATCTTCTTTGACACACTGTTAGGTAGAGTCTTTCAGAGGCCCTCTATGGTAGGCTCCTGTCCTGTTTCTTGTTTTCTCTTACTTCCATGTCCATCCCATTTTTCTTTTAAGTAAGGATTGATCATCTTACCCAGGGTCCTCCTTCATGTTTACCTTTTTTAGGTGTACAGATTTCTATGTCCCTCATCTATAATGCTCCCTGCAGTCTGCCCAAAGTTTGGGTATGAGTCTCAGCATCTCCTTGGATACCCTGATAGGTACAGTCTTTCAGAGGGCCGCTGTGTTAGGCCCCTATCCTGTTCCTTGTGTTCTCCTGCTTCCAATGTCTATCCTGTTCCCCTACTGAGTGAGGTTTCAGCCTCTTCCCTAGCTTCCTCCTTGTTGTTTAGCTTCTTTAGGACTATAGATTTCAGTATGTTTATCCTATTTTATATGTCTAATATCGACTTATAAGTGAGTATATACCCTGTGTGTCTTTCTGTTTCTGAAGTACCTCAATCAGGATGATCTTTTCTAGATCCCAACATTTGCCTGCAGTTTTCATGATTTTCTTGTTTTTAATTGCTTAGGAACATTCCATTCTGTAAATGTACCACAATTTCTATATCCATTCCTCATTTGTGGGATATATGGGTTGTTTCAAGCTTCTGGCTATTATGAATAAAGCTGCCATGAACATGGTTGAACAAATGTTTTTGTTGTGTACTTGAGCATCTTTTAGATATATGCCTAGGAGAGGTATAGCTGTATCTTAAAGAAACACCATTTCTAATTGTCTGAGAAAGCACCAGATTGATTTCCATGGTAGCTGTATAAGTTTACATTCCCACCAGCATTGGAGGAGGGTTTCCCTTTGTCCACAACCTCTCCGTCATATGTTGTCACTTGAGTTTTTTATCTTAGCCATTCTGATGGGTGTAAGTTGAAATTTAAGAGTTATTTTATTTGCATTTCCCTAATGGCTAAGGATGTTGAGCATTTCTTTAAGTTTTTCTCTGCCATTCTATATTCCTCTACAGAGAATTCTTTGTTTAACTCCTTCCTACATTTTTTAACTGGATTACTTGATTTGTTGCTTTTTAACATCTTTTGTTCTTTATATATTCTAGATATAAGCCCTCTGTCAGATAAAGGGTTGGTGAACATCCTTTCCCAATCAATAGGCTGCTGTTTTGTTCTGACAACAGTGTCCTTTGCTTAACAGAATCTTTTCAGTTACATTTGGTCCCATTTATTCATTGTTGATATTAGAGCCTGTGCTGTTGGTGCTCTGTTCAGGAAATTGCCTCCTGTGTCAATGAGTTCTAAGCTCGTCTCCACTTTTTCTTCTAACTGATTTAATGTGTTTGGTTTTATGTTGAGGTTTTTGATCCACTTGGAATTTAATTTTAGGCAGGGTGATAAATATGAATCTATTTGCATTTTTCTGTATGTAGACATAGTGTTAGACAAGAATCATTTGTTGAAGATGCTGTCTTTTTTCCACTGTATGGTTTCTTTCTCAAAAATCAAGTATCTGTAGGTATGTGTATTTATTTCTGTGTCTTCTATTCAGTTCCATTGATACAGTGTTCTATTGTCATGCCAGTACCATGCAGTTTTTACTGTTGCTCTGTAGTGCAGCTTGAGATCAGGGATGGAGATACCTCCAGATGACCTGTTGTTGTACAAGATAATTTTGGCGATTCTGGGTTTTTTGTTTTACCATATGAAGTTGAGAATTGTTCTTTCAAGGTCTGTAAAGAATTGCATTGGTATTTTGATGAGAATTGCATTGAATCTGTAGACTTTTTTTTTTTTTTTTTTTTTTGCAGGATGGTCGTTTTCACTATGTTAAACCTACTGATCCATGAGTATTGGAGATGTTCCCATCTTTTTTTTAATATTTTATTATTATTATTATTAATTACACTTTATTCATTTTGTACCCCCAATAAGCCCCTCCCCTCTCCTCTCCCTATCCCACCCTTCCTCCCCTTTCTGCATGCATACCCCTCCCCAAGTCCACTGATAGGGGAGGTCTTCCTCTCCTTCTTTCTGATCTTAGACTATCAGTTCTCATCAGAAGTGGCTGCATTGTCATCTTCTGTGGCCTGGAAAGGCTGCTCCCCCCTCAGGCGGAGGTGATCAAAGAGCAGGCCAATCAGATTATGTCAGAGGCAGTCCCTCTTCCCATTACTATGTAACCCACTTGGAAACTGAACTGCCAGGGGCTACATCTGTGCAGGGGTTCTAGGTTATCTCCACGAATAGTCCTTGGTTGGAGTATGAGTCTCTGGGAAGTTCCCTGTGTTCAAATTTTCTTGTTCTGTTGCTCTCCTTGTGGAGTTCCTGTCCTCTCCAGCTCTTGCTATTTCCCACTTCTTATATAAAATTCCATTCGCTCTGCCCATCAGTTGGCCATCAGGCTCAGCATCTGCTTTGATCGTCTGCAGGGCAGAGGCTTTCAGAGGCCCTCTGTGGCAGGTTCCTAGGTTGTTTCCTGTTTTCTTCTTCTTCCGATGTCCATCCTCTTTGCCTTTCAGGATGGGGATTGAGCATTTTAGTTAGGGTCCTCTCTTTTGCTTAGTTTTTAGATGTACCGATTTTAGTGGGTTTATCTTATGTTGTATGTTTATATGAGTGTATATATACCGTGTGTGTCTTTTTGCTTTTTCCATCTTTTGATACCTTCTTGAATTTCTTTCTTGAGAGAATTGAAATTTTTTCAAACAAGTCTTTCACTTGCTTGGTTAGAGTCATACCAAAGTTCTTTAAGTTACTAGTGGCTATTGTGAAGGTTGTTTTTTTTTTTCCCTAGTTTCTTTCTCAGCCCTATTGTCTTTGGTGTACAGGAGGGCTTCTGATTTTTTTGAGTAAATTTTGCATCCAGCTACTTTGCTAAAGGTGTTTATCAGCTGAAGGAGTTCTCTGGTTGAATGTTTGGTGTCTCTCATGTATGCTATCATATCATCTGCGAATAGTGACACTTTTGACCTCTTCCTTTCCGATTTGTATCCCCTTGATCTCCTTTACCTGTCTTACTGCTCTAGCTAGGACTTCAAGTACTATGTTGAGATTCAGAGAGAGAGGATAGCCTTACTTTTTTCCTGATTTCAGACGAATTTATTTGACTTTCTCTCCAATTAATTTGATTCTGATTATAGGCTTGCTGTATATTTTTTTACTATGTTTAGTTCTGTGCTTTGTATCCCTGATCTCTCTAAGACTTTAA